AGATCCCACAGGAAACCCTATGGGACTTTGTATTTTGTCACATGGGGTCACTATGAGTTGGAATTGACTTGGTGCCATCTAACAACCAGCAGCTAACTTTAATCACAGAAAGTGTGTTTGGCCTATTTTGGGGAGATCGATGGGGAGCTCCGGCATGAGGGTCACTGACGATCTCTCCTGGCCCATGTTGAAGATGGGAAGTGAGGGCTCCCAGCCACCTGCAATGTGTAGATCCTGCAAGATCAGTGGTTAAAACTCACCAGCTGTTTCTCGGAAACTCTATACAGGGTAGTTATGAGTTGGAACCGACTTGATGCCAGGTAACAACCACCACCCTACTGAGTACCAACCACAGGCACATCAGATGTTCACTTCCAATGACTGGCCTTGGAGCCCTCCCCGGGGCCACGTGGCCGTGGTGCTTTAGCAACACTTGTGAAATGAGTGCATGGACTCCAGTCTCCGCTCCAGAACCATGGTGCACCTAGGCCAGTACCAGCTCTGAGGAAAGGGCTCGGGAAGCTGCAGCCACTGACCACAGACAGTGTTGTTGTGTGACTGGTGTTGTGTTATCCTGGAATTATGATGGGAAAACCAAGACTTGGGGAGACCCAGTTACTGAGTTACAGAGTGACTCAGTGTGGAACAAAGACTAGACCAGGAGCCGGAGGTCATGCGATTGAAGTCTTGCTGGACATCAGCATGGACAGTCTCATTCAGAGCCACTGAGGCTGGAGCCTTGTGCTGGGTGTCACCTGGAGTGCAGGCCACCAAGAGTTCCCCCTAGTGGTGACGCTGGGGTCTCTGGAGCACCCTGAGCCTCCCCTACCCCACCCCTCCACCCCCAGGGTTGTTCTCACATCAAGGATGGAACAGGGAAACTTGTCTGGGGTTAAAAACCCAGGCAGGCGAGCTCGCTGGCTTTGCTCTGTGAGTTTTTGAATCATCTGGAGAATATGAGCTTCTTAATGAAAAGCACAGTTTGAGGTTATGAACCAGAAAGCCACGGGCCATCAGTCCAGTGCACGAGGCCTCAGCACCTCCGTAATGGCCTCGGACGCTCCGCGGACAGAGTCATTTCCAGGAACAATGAGGGTGCAAGCATCCATTCACCCTTCAGGACCCAGTCTGGTGGCCCAGCCACTATAGAATCCGCTCCGCACCCCAGCTTTTTGGCGCTCCCTGCCTGACACCCCAAGCCTGAAAGGAAACACACTTGACAGAATGTTCCTCCCACAGACAGCTTTATCCAAAAAAAATGGGCTCTACCTAGGCCTCAAAGGAGCTCTGGTAGCGTAGTGGTTACGAATCGGGCTGCGAACCTTAAGGTCAACGGTTCGAAACTACCAGCTGCTCCGCGGGAGAAAGATGAGGCTTTCTACTCCCTTAAAGATTTACACCCTCGGAAACCCTATACAGGGTCGCTATGGGTCGGAACCGACTGGATGGCACATAACAACAACAACAACAACCTAGGCCTCAAGGCCAGGGCCTGGGGTACAGGAACCCAGGCATCTGGGAGAAGCCTCCTGGCTGCACCGTTCCCACTATGAATGCCCACACCCATGTGGCTGCTAACGACTCCCTCGGCAGGACCACGCCAGGGAGATTTATTGAACGGGAAGTAAAATTGCAATCTCTCGTTCAAACTGAATCTTCACACAACAATAAAAAATATAGATTTGGCTGCAGGGAACCATTTGCTGGGCTTGGGCGCATCCGTGGAAAAGCAGTTCTTGGGGGGAGCCACTGGGTTTATTAGTGGCTGTGGAGTGGACCGCAAGGCATATGGTCCCTCCTCAAGGCTGCATGGGGCATGATGTGTGTGAGGGTCAATCCCCCCAGAGTGGCATCTTGGGGATCAGGAAGCCCTAGGGAAGGCCCAAGATGAGGTAGGGGAGCCCCCTCTGTGCCTACCACCCACCTGGCTCCTCATTCTCTCTACCTTGTTCCTAGAGTGCAAATTATACTGAGATGATGGTGCCAGGCACACAGAAACTCCACATGGATGCCATTTAAAAATGTTGAGCAAACTTCTCACTTTCAACTGATGTTACAGAAAGTGTTCAAAAAACAGTAGAGAAAATTCCATACCGGATATCCCTTATGGTACTTGCCCCAAATGTGAACAGTTTATATGACTATAGTATAGTGATTAAGAACAGGAAATGAGCTTTTGGTGCAGCTTTGTTGTTCTCAGTGGTTGTCAGCCCCATCTCGTGGTGACGCCATGCATTGGAACACTGCCTGGTCCTATGTCATCCCTACAATCCACTGAGGGTCCACTGTTGTGACCCACAGGGTTTTCACTGGCTGATTTTCATAAGTCGATTTCCAGGCATTTCTTCCTAGCCCATCTTAGTCTTGCCTTTGAGTTGAGGTGTTGGAGGAGAATACTGAAAGTGCCATGGACTGCCAAAAGAACCAATAGATCTGTGTTGGAAGAAGTGCAGCCAGAGTGCTCCTTGGAGGCCA